TTTTTGAGCACCTTTGCCTCATTTCACCTTCAGTTCCTACAACTGTGGGAGACGGACTTGGGTTCCAAATAGAGCATGACTCCACCAGGGGAGGAAATGCGCAGGCGGTGTCCAAAGCTCAGAAAGCAGCCACATCAACTGTGCGCCGTCAAGCCCAGTCCTCCTTCACCTCCAGCAATCCCACGATCCACATGGCCTTCAGCTGCCTGCGTTCAGGCCTTGTGCTCAGTGTTTTGCCAGTGTTATCACATTTGTTCTTCACAAATGCCTCCTAAGCTGGGTATGAATATTATCCCCATTTTAATGATGGGGGAAATGAAGCTTGGGGGTGTTCAATAACTTGCCAGAGTTGTAGCCCCAACGTTTTAGTTATCCTATGCTTCTCCATTCGGACAATACCATCTGGAGCCCTGTGGGCTGCCAAGAGCCCTTCCCTAGTGATGGGAGCAGCCGAGAAAGGAGAAAAGAACATCAGCAGCAAAAATCGTCTTCCCCCATAAACCAAACACCGTCCAACAAAACCAAGCCAGCTTTGATGGTCAAAAATACAATAATACTTGTTTAGAACATGAAATGTGACAGCTACTTAGCCCAGTAGATTTAGATGAGTTTTGCAGTCCTCCTATGACCTGCTCCAGCCCCCTTGACAGAAACAAGGTCAGAATAAATATAAAAATAAAAATATCTTTGCTTTTCCTTAATCAACAATCAGACTTTTTTTCTAGAGCTTGTCTTCCCTGAAAGCTAAGGCCTCACACGTCTTGGCTCCCTTCACAAAAGGCCATTGATGATTGGGGTCCCAGCCCCCTGCATTCCTTGGGCGGCTTTTTCTGCAGGGAGTCCCACTCACACTTGAGCTTTCTCTCAAGTTCTCCCTCCTAGATCCCGTGTCTCAGAGAAGATCGACATTCAACAGGAGGCAAATTTGAGTCCATCGGGGTTTCTAAGAAGCCAGCTATGACCCAGTGGCACATCAAAGAGCCTGACATTTGCCCTGCACAGACCCTTCATGCCCTCCTCTAAAGAGCATCCGCCCACTTTCTATAATGATTAGTATTGATACCTAGTGAGCAGTGACAATGTGCCTCAAACAATGAGGAACACAAAAGCGCCTTTACCTTCCACCCCTCGCCCAGTGTCTTGCAGATAAAAGTAATGGCTGCCATTCACTGAGCCCTTACCATGGACCAGATCCTGGCATTTAACCAACTGACATTCACTCTTCACAACAACTTGAATCGGTGGGAAGACACAGGCAGGTTTCCCCATTTTACTGATGGGAAAACTGATGCTCAGAAACTTACCCAGCTAGGAAATGGATACCAGCAGATTCCAACCCCTAACTCTTAACTAGTATACCACAGCCCCCACCCCAACCCCCACTTAGTAACTGTTGTTTTGAATGTCACACATTTTCTATTATCTCCCATCTTGTTTGGGCTGGATTAATAAATACTTTTTAAGAAGAGGCAACAAGAATTCTAAAAGATTGTGCTGATAGGATGTCACTCATTTTGCCTTTAGGCAGGCTTTGCAAACACTATAGAAAGGGAGACAGACAAGGCAGGGAGTGGCAGGAAATACCAACAAAAATGCAGGTCTCATCTTTCATGCATAGTCAAAACTATTCCAATAAAGTGCAATGAAATAATTGGAAAGCATGCAGATTGGATTTTGGGGATTTTTATTTTCTTCTACTTATTGTCTACAATTGGCTTCCAACCCAACATATTCCCAGGTCTGGGTCAAAATGAGAAAAAGAAAAAATTTCAATGATTGTTACGCAGCAAATTTATTCACCTTAAGTGGCTATTCTTTGTTATGAGAATTGTTTCTCAATAGTTTTAGTATTATGATATCCTTTCTTCTAAGAAGTGATGTCGATAGAAAATGTTCATTATCTTTCCCTCTTTTTTAAATTTGTCTTTATTTTACTAAATAAATAGTTGCTCACCTTATATCTAAAGAAATTTTTAATTTGACTCATTCAAAAAAAAAATCTTGAGATAATTATTTCTGAATTTTTCTGACTAGTATAAATTCTTTTGTAAAGCCTAGCAAAAATTTATTTTGAAAGAAATACATAAATTTTAGGAGAAACACATACACATACCTATCCTCCTTAGTATGATTTTATTTTTAAGTTTTTCTAATTCTTTTTTTTTATTATTTCTAATTCTTTTTTTCACTTATCATCACTGAAGGAAGAGTGTAGAAAAGCAAGAAGGTTTCTTGGCAATGTTGAGAGATTTTAGTAACAAAGGAATAATTGGATGCATTAGTGAATAAAGTGAAATTTAACAAAATATTTTTAAATTGTTTTTTTATGAAGCCACAAGAAATCATTTTTTGTTGGACAACAAAAGGTATTTTTGTCTATTGCAGAAGGAAAACTTTCAAAAATTTCTCAAAGTTTAGGCTGCAGCAAATGCTGATAAATATCTGATCACACACAAAAATTTTTTTTACGCAAATTATCTGACCTCATAGCATGATACTCAAGAAACAAAACCTCTACTGTGAAATAGACTCTGTTTCAAAAGCAGACTGAGGGGGGATGGGGGGGGGTTTGAAAATGCAGTTTAGGCTTAGACTAAATTTACATGCTAATAAGAACTTCCAAATAAAAGCTGCTTCACAATGGATACAACCAGTTAGCAGACTAACAAGATTCACACCAGAATAGGAATTAGACATGTTTGTCCTATGACCATATGTCTGGAGAGTTAGCCTGTCCTGGAGGTGTTGAGGGAACAAAATAGTTAAGAATCCCAGATAAATCAGAATATTGCATAATCTAGCAGCCTTCATACAAGGAAAATGCAAAGTTTATGTGTAACTTCTTGCAACTCCTTTCAGTGCTGGAAAAATGTATCTTTCAAAATGTTGTGTTCCTTCCCTCTCCTACAGTCTCTAGAATCTGAGACAAGGTGGCAAAGCAAAGAACACAGGTTTTAGAGCCACACAATCTAATCTATAGACCCTAACCACAAGTAAGTATTCCAACTTGAAATTCAGTTATATGAACCACATTTCAAGTGCTGGCTACCATGCTGAACAGCACAGACACAGAACATTTCCGTCTTTGAAGATGGGCCTGTTGGTCAGCTCTATTTTAGGGTCAAAGATCCCACTACCAAGAACTTGAGCTTCACTCAATTTACTTATCTGCAAAATAATATCTATCTCATAGGAACATTAGGAGACTCCAATGCATTAAGAGATCTTTGTAACCTATAAAATAAATAAATATTAGCTATTTTGGTGATGATGATGATGATGATGATGACAACAACAATGAATGACTTCTATATAGGAAAACTTCAGATAGTTAGAAATACAAAATCTAAGTCTTCACTCAGAGTGGACATAATCCTAGTCATAAGGTGTTTCCTCCAATCGTATGCTCTCCCTTTTTTTCTTAAAAGTTTCTCCTTCTCGCCGAGACCGGTTTGGCTCAATGAATAGAGCGTTGGCTCGGGGACTGAAGGGTCCCGGGTTCGATTCCGGTCAAGGGCATGTACCTTGGTTGCGGGCATATCCCCAGCAGGGGGTGTGCAAGAGGCAGCTGATCGATGACTCTCTCTCATCGATGTTTCTAACTCTCTCTCTCCCTTCCTCTCTGTACAAAATCAATAAAATATATATATATTTTTTAAAGTTTCTCCTTCTCTCCATGACTGGGGACAAAGAACTAGACTAGACCAGTGTTTTTCAACCTTTTTTGGGCAAAGGCACACTTGTTTCATGAAAAAAATCACGAGGCACACCACCATTAGAAAATGTTAAAAAATTTAACTCTGTGCCTATATTGACTATATATAAAGTAATTCTCTTGAATAGGAATCAAATAAACACAAAGAAAGTATTTTATAATTACTTTATTATGAAATATTAAGTAAACAAAATAGTGAAAAATTATAAAATTCTTGTCTTGTCTGCACCTACGGCACACCAGGCAACATCTCGCGGCACACTAGTGTGCCGCGGAACAGCGGTTGAAAAACGCTGAACTAGACAACATATAAGTGAATTTGAAACCCATTTGAACTCAATATGCAACTACTACTAAGTCTTTTTAAAAACCACATCAGACAGAATTCATGTTTTATACCTAATTTAATGTTTCTCAAGCTAATGTCCCCAACCTAAGGAGCCTTTCAAAATCTACAGGTAGGGAAGAGCAGGGCAGATGGGGAGAGGGGCCCTTAGCAGGGGATGTAGTGTTAGAATTATTGCCATTATTACAAAATTATTCCCAGAAGTTGTATGTTTTCCTACCCAGGCAACATTTAAAGCATCGGTTTGGTCTGAAATTGTTTTAGTTAAGTCTAATAATACTGTTTGGTATATGAAACTGCCATTTTTGTAGGTCAAAAATAAACACTGGCAATTGCTTACCTCAAATTGGCCTGTAGCATAGGGGCCAAGAGCTCAGGTTTTAGCTGACAGACTGGAGTTCAAATCTCACTCTGCCCCTTAATAACTGTGTTTCTGGGAAATGAATAGAATAATGGGGAAAACAAATGGAACTTGCAGACCAAATCTTTCAAAAACTCTGCATCCACGAGAAAAGAAAGTATTAAAGTGCTTTTGGGTGCCAAAAAGGCTGAGAACCAGTAATCTATTCCTCAAAGTAGGGCTTTTGATTGACAATAATATACTACCCCCTTCAGGCAACATTCATCAAGTAGAAGAGAGAACAGAGTCCAGTAAGCCAAGGAGCTCTCCTAAAAAAAATAATAAAAATATAAATAAAAAGACCCCAGAAGCCCATGCCCTTCAGACCTTAGGTTTATGGTAACTAAGTCAATTGTGCATCAAAAGCTACCCTAAGCCGCCCCTCCCCCGCTCCCGGAAGTGCAGAGGCTGCTCCGGAAGTGCAGAGGCTGCACCCGGAAGTGAAGAGGCCACTCCCGGAAGTTCCGGGGGAAAGGGGTCTCCAGCCGCCCAGCCAGGATGCACCCTGGGAAAGCAGTGCCAGGCCCGCCAGGTCCGAGATGGCGGCCAGCAGGAGGCTGGTGAAGGAGCTGGAGGAGATCCGCAGGAGCGGGATGAAAACCTTCCGTAACATCCAGGTGGACGACGCCAACGTGCTGACCTGGCAGGGGCTCGTGGTGCCCGACAACCCTCCCTACGACCAGGGCGCCTTCCGCATCGAGATCAGCTTCCCCTCGGAGTACCCATTCAAGCCGCCCAAGGTCACGTTCAAAACCAAGATCTACCACCCCAACGTCGACGAGAAGGGCCAGGTCTGCCTGCCCGTCATCAGCGCCGAGCACTGGAAGCCCGCCACCAGCACCCACCAGGTGGTCCAGGCCCTCGTGGCGCTGGTGAACGACCCCCAGCCCGAGCACCCGCTCCGCGCCGACCTGGCCGAGGAGTTCTCGAAGGACCGCCAGAAGTTCTGCGCCCACGCCCAGGAGTTCACCAGGAAGTATGGGGAGCAGCGGCCTGTGGACTGACACCTGCCGCGGGGGACCCCGCGAGGGTGACAGACACCCCAGCAGTGCAGACACCCCACCAAGCAGGCCTCTGACCCGGGCCTACCCCCTGGCGTTTGCTTGTGGCCGTTACGAACGTTCTACAGTTTTCTTAATCAAAAGTGATCTCAGGTAACCTGTAAGAAAGGATTAAAAGTTTAAGATGTAAAAAAAAAAAAAAAAAAAAAAAAAAAAAAAAAAAAAAAAAAAAGCTACACTGATTGGGGGGATGGAGGGGGAAAACACCAGCATTAACTGCAAACGCCAGAAACAGAGGTAAACGAACAAACAGAATAGAACTGTCAAGAGATTTTTGGTCTTGACCTTTTCGGTGGCCTGACAGCTTTGCCATATTACAGTAATGTTTAGTGTCACCACTTGAGAAAACTAGAAACATGTAGTATCGTACGGTCAGGATATTTCTACTTAAAAAAAAAAAAAGAAAGAAAGAAATTATTGCACTCAAGCTATGGTGCAGATAAAGGGCGGCCCAGTGCTCCCCAGGCAACTGCCTTCAGGAACACCTGCCCATCGGAGCCACACAGAGACCCGGGAGCAGACACCAAGGACTGTCAGCACCAGAGAGGACCCAGACGCAGAGAACAGCAGCTAAGACGCAGAATCCAAACAATCGGAAGGAGAAGCTGGAGAAGCAAGAACCCAGAGAGCTGGTCAGAGGAGAGCAGACTGTCAGATGGGGGCTGATGCGGCTGAAGATGAGTCCACAGACCTCAGCGAGCATGGTTACCTGCGGGCGAGCAGGACCCATTCAGAGTGACCAGAAAGGGGTGAACTTCTTTGTCCAGAAAACTCTCCCATATAGGATTCAGCAGGGGCCGGCGGTAACTGGGACAGTCTGGTAGAAAGGACATGGGCCTCAGATTCAGAGAGATCTGCGTTGTTCGGCCCAGCAGCAGCTTCGTGCCCAAGTGCAGGCACTGATTCCCTGAACTTTGGTTTCGTTATCTTTAAGACAAGAACACAATATGACTCTCGCAGTGTTGTGGTGAAGACCAGATGAGGACACACATACTGGAAAGTGCTGGGGTCAGTATGTGGTACTTAGTAGCTACTCAATAAAAGATCTGTCTCTTCTCTGTAGCGATGATGATTTATCTGGGTTTATTCTGTCACACCTGTACGTAATTGGTCATTCCCCTTTCCATCTGCCAAACACATTCCTTCTTAGGAAGGCGGTTCTGTTTATTCTGCCAAAGCAACAGGAATAACAATCTCCACTTTGAGGATTCCTTAGAATGAATATCTGAGCCTTATTTGGGGTCTTAACGCTGTTAGTATCCTTCAGCAGAATGTCAACACTAGAAAGACTGCATTGTTAGCGGACAGTGCCCGTGGAAAAGGAATCCTCAGAAAGCAGGAGTCACTCCCCCACACCTGCCAAGAAACAAAGAGCCCAAGCCCACGGCCTCCCAGCTGGAGCAGCTGTCCGGCCCTCCACCCTCCAGCAGAGCCCGGATGGGTCCCCTCCAGCCCTGCTCTCTGGACTTATCAAGAGCAGACATCTGCAGCGAGGTCTTTGGGGGACCACCCAGAGGGCAGCCCGAGAACCCTGGGGCTCCCCGAGAATTTGCAGAAAGGTCAAGAGTCACTTGCTCTAACAGTTGACTGAAAGCATCTCGGAGAGACCCGAGGGAAAGGTCAGCTTAAGATAGTGACAGGGCACAGCTTGAGGGGGAAAAGGGGAAAGGACAGAATTTCTTTTTTTTAAGTAGCAAAAAGTACATCTGTTTCTGGCCCCGCACAGGCTTTCGAGTCTGATTTTTATTTCGATGGCATTTCCTCGGCTTTTCCAATTCGCGTCTGAATCGCAGAATGTGTCCATTGTGCACTTCTGGGCGCGCGTCTCTGGGCCACAAAGCACAACGCTGCAAGTGCATTTTCTCACTTCATTAAGCGTTGCTTTAAAATGGCATCCAAATGTCCGCTCTCCCCAGCATGTCTGCAGGGGATCCTGTTACTTCTCCCCCCAGTGGGAACAGAAGGAGCGCCTGAGTCACAAGCTGTGATGTTTAATATTTTTCAATTTCGCATGTCTGCCTCTGCAGGCTGGTTACAGGGCCGGCCTGGCCCGCCGTGGCCATGTGTGAAAGGGTCCCCCGTGTCCCCGGGAGGTGCCCCTGGCCGCGTAGATCTGTCTAGGCTGCAGCCACCCAAACTGGCCTGCACCCCGGGGAGCCCTTTGCACTTCGCTGGGCGAGGTGCTGACTCCACCTCCCACGGGCAGGCCAGGACGCATCCTGCTGACTTAAGAAGATGCCACGTAAATTAGAACTCATGTAACCATATGGTTCAAACCTGCGGGTCATATTTTATACACAAATGACTATGACAGGCGGTATTTTTGTGCTGACAAGTTGTATTTCATCCATGCTTACTTAGAATTCCATGCTATCATTAAAAGCTAAGCAGTAGAACTGTATCATATTTTTTATGCAAAAGTTGATTGAGTTTCTTATTTAGAAAAAAAAAAAAAAAAAGGAAAAAGAAAAAGAAAAATTTACCCAGGCAGCTTTTGCTTCCTCCTTAACTCTAATTATCCAAGTGTTTGGTGCTTTGGTGGTTTCAGATATCCCAACAATAGGAGTTTGAAAAGACTTCTGGAACCCTAGTTTTCAGACTAACCCTCATTGAATGTGCTAAACAGCTATTTTATTGAAATCCCCAAAATAAAAAGTCTAATAGTTTACCTACCGCCCAGTGCTGTGTGACCTCTGGATGTTCAAACACAGAACCTACTGACTCGACCTTCCTTGATTCCATGAGCTCATAGCAAACCAGGGCAATGGTGAGTAAGAGAGTCTCCAGTACAGTGATCAGTAATCTCCAAGGCCTCTAGGTTGAGAAAGAAAATAGTGAGATGCTGGCTGGAGCAGTCTTCAGCCTGCTTCTTAGAAAACAAACCTTGGAAAAATAGCTCTCAGGTTTACTAGAATTCTAATTAACCTCACAGCCAGCATCCTAGAGGCTCGGTGACTATATTAAGATTGCAAGAACTAAGAGACTTCAGCACAAATCTTGAACTGAAACGGAAATATATACCTGAGTGTATATTCAAAATGGTTCCTGTAAATATGTCTTCCCTCTTGGGAAAATGTCTTAGACCCCCAATTCATTCTCTGCTTTACCTTTGCAATCCAAAGTAGCCCTCTTTTCTGAATCAAAACTAGGCATGTGGTTTGGGAGAGGATTTTTCTGATTTCTGCATGAATTGATAGAAAAATATTCTGGCAAAGCTACCAATTATAGTCACATTTAGTTGCATATATAACAAATGTCCTTTCTTAAAAAGAATAAAATTTCTTTTAAGTCAGTACTACCTTGACCGCTCTGGGCACATAGTTGCCAAACCAGAACATCAGGAAGTTCCTCCCCAAAAGTCTGAGAAAGCAGATCACTTCTCTCCAGGCAGGTGGGTCCTGGGTTTGAATCCTGTCTTTGCCTCTTACTTTCTTTGAGCAAATCCATAATGCCTCCAAGCTCAAAGTACAGTGTCTAATGCACTTGTGAAATTGTCATGTCTTCATCCTTCCCCCAACTGAAAGAACACCTGTGGCCCCCTGCCTCCCCTGCTCTGAGACTGCCCGGAGAGTAACTGTCTAGGAATAGGAGAGTGTAATGGACCTGAAATTTGATTGTCTCCCTCCCACTCTCCCCCCTCTGTGCTTGTTTCTTAAGGCTTCTTTGGCAATGGCTTAGGGACCAACTCATCCCAGGTACATTTTAATGAGAGACTCTGCAAAATCTTAAAGCCTTTACAGATTAAAAAGAATAATTTTCTTTTAATGAGCATGGGTCCTTCCATTTTAAAATAATCTGATTATTACCAAAAAAAATGGAAAATGCATGAACAAACAAAGCAGAAGAACCACCCATCATCCTGGTACCCAAGGCAAGCATCCTGAGGGTGTGACCGCCGGTTGACCTTTGAGCTGGACATGGGCAATCCCACCCCTGACCTTGGAATGTACAGTTCTGCCTGCCATCCCTGCAGCTGTTCCAAGGAGAAAGCCTAGAGAGAGGAAGGTGTTGCTGAGACCATCTGGATGATATGTGACGGAACCCAGTTAAGGCCTCTCTATAAACTTCTAAGATTCTGACGGGCAGGCGTGGAGATCTACTGGCATGTGGTTGCCCAAAACAAGCCTCGTTTATTCAAGTTCCCTCATTTATTAAAACCACCACCTACCAATCTGGGGTCACCTGCCTCTCTCTCAGGTCTTTCCTGGCCCGCCATGTAAGGGGGCCAACATTTCTTTTAGTCTTTTCTGTTTGCCTGTTTATTGTGACCTTTATTGGTGTATGTATGCTTTTAAAAGGGATGATTAATTACATTGTTGTTTTTAATTTTACTTAGAACAGAATGCGTGCACAAACTTTGTGTGTGTGTGTGTGTGTGTGTGTGTGTGTGTGTGTGTGTTTTCACTTAACATAACCCAGGGAACATTTTTCACATTATTATAGGCTTCTCAAAAACAGTCATTTTTAATGGCTGCAAAATAAGGGATACATTTTTAAATGTATAATTTCCAACTCTCTTAGGAGCTGTGGGGGATAAATGTATAAAACCAAAACTAAATATAGGTTCTCTAAAAGGCAGGGGTCGGGTTCTCTTCACTCCCTGCAGTAACTGTGGTACCTGCCTTAGTGCCTGGCCCCTGAGAGGGGCTCTTTAATGAGTAAGAATAAAAATGGTGAGAATGTGGAGCCCTAGATGCCTCTGAGGCTGCCTCCCTGACCAGCACTGCCCCTGGCTAGCTATGAGCTCATTCTTCATGATGATTGACAAGCAACTCACTCTCTCCAGGCTTTGCTTTCTTCTGTGATCCGTTGCTAAGACACAAGTAAGAGCAAATACAAGATTTATAAAAATAGCAACAGGTTTTTTTTTTTTTAAAGCACCTGTTTTCCATTTAACACCCTCATGCGCGTGTTTTAAAACCTACAGGGGAATTGTTTATTAG